ATTGGATTGCCTTCCATTTAACCATATAATCACAGGTGGATATACGGGAAAAGGAGGGGGGTGGCTTTTAGAGCGAAGCCGCCCCCTCTCAAATGATAAAAATAGCCATATTTATGGTAAAAAATTATCTTTTAAAAATATTATTGTTCGTGTAATTACAATTAATTGGACTTCAAGAATCACTTAAACACCATTTCATATAGGTAGTTAGTATCTTTCTTTTTTTTCCAAACTAATTATCGTTATATATATAGAAAAAAAACTTTTGGGGTGAAGCCCCAAGCCCCCAAAAAAATTAAATCCTGGATCCGCTAGTGCAGATCATTATCATCAGAGATTAAGTGTAATTCATAAACCATTTTAAGAAAGCACTGAGAAGTATAGATTACATGAGTTTTTGATCGACTTTAATACCATTTGGACTCCTTTTATAATCAATTATTTATCAAATTATGGATTTGATAAGTGGTTTAGTGTCTGTATCAAGTACCTTAGAGACTAGTCAGATTCAGAATTAATTGATAACAGATCCCTACTATGTTGATTCAGTTTTCTTTTCTTTTCGAAGATTAAAAATATTAATAAAACTAAAGAAAATCATTTTCTTCTTCACCTGTAACAGCAGTAATTATAGGCTAAAATTATTTTTTCTCACACGCTTTGTATTCTTTTTTTAAATTTCTAATTTAAGTGGCGCACAATTCCAGCCCGGTGCCTCTGAGAAAATATCCGAGTTCTCCTGCCCTGAGGCAGGCACTGCTTACCATGAAACTTGAGAAAACAAAGAAATCAGCAGTAAGTTTGATTATAATATTGAACGGCCTTTAAAACCACCAAAACCTTCTGGCAACTCCAGAATGAGCTTGAACCGAAAAAAAGTTCCAATGCCGCCTAATTCCAGATGGTGAGAGACAGAGAATTGAATTCATTAATTGATGAATCGAACAAGAAATGAAAAAATAACTTTCATCGTAGATGGATCTTTTCAAACCAATGAATTTTCGAAATCGCAAGAATCTGTGAAACGAATTGATCTACACGCCAGCAGATTACCTATGACTTATCAAGAATTCGTGAATCAAACCATGACCATATGAAGTTGAATACGTTGATAACGAAATTCCTATGGACTACTCCAAAATGGAGGGTATGCACATCATCCGAGCATCTCCTACAGTGGGAGACAAAAAGTGAATAACCCGTATGGACAAATACTCGCTTTCCAGTCAAATGTTTTAAATATTTTCGTATCAAATATTCAGTGATCTTATCAACACTAAAAAAGGAAGCATAAAACATTTGTTAAAGTAGTTTGTGAGTGTTATTTAAATTAATGATTTAACCTGTAAATACCCTCCGAGGCGTCTGAAAAGAAGATGGCCTCGGGATCTTCTAATATAGAACTTTAATTTGAGTTCTACCAATGGGTAGTTTCTCTTCATGTTGTACATGCCATGTTACAGATTTCTCATTTACTTATTGTATTCTCTGTGTAATACAGTTGTAAATAACATTAAAATAATAAAAAAAAAAACCTGTAAATGTATTGTATTGATTATTTTAAATTTGGTTTTGTTGTTTTAAATCAGTTTACAATTTAAAGGAAAAGCTGTAAAGGTAGAGTTAATGCGTGTTATCAATCAGCACTGTAGCTTGTAAACAAAGGCAGGTTGGTTTGGGTGAGATTACCCAGAGAGCAGTAGTCCTTTGTTCGTGATAGTGTGATGTATATGTAGAGCAATAAAATTGTTTTTTGTAGATGTGGTGTAAAATTTTATCAACTAAGCCTCATTTGTTTCCTAAAGGGATTTCTCGACATCACATAAAGTTAAGTAGCTTGCGTTAAGGGCTCGTGAAGATACGTTGTTCATATGGAAGAGGGTTAATGTCCCAAATAATAACAATATATTGATACAAAAATGGCTCTGATTGTTATATAATAGAACACTTTCTTTTTTTTTTATTGTTATTGATATTAATTAAAAGTAGTTCACAAGCAGCTTTCACAGTTCCAGCTTCTACTTCACTTGCTTCATGTAACGTATTATAGATCGTGAGCACTCCCGTCAAATAAGCAAGACAAAAGCATGCATAAAAATGTGCACAACTACGTGCACACACATCTTCTGCCACAGCAATACTCGTTGGGGCCTAGAGTTCCTTAACAACTAAGTTGTCCACTTTTATATTATGAAGGCTTAATATATTTTGTATCATTTAGATTGTTTTATGAATATCTCAATCAACCAACTAATCAATTCTAAATTTACTGTAATTTCTTTTAAAGTATACTGGGTTTCTATACTGGTATCAAGTTGTAATTCTTTTTGGAATGTTATTAGGTTTAACAAGAGAGCACGATGGTAGCATCAAATGAAGAGAAGGAAGTACTGTTAGTAATGACGAAAGAACCAGACGCCAGCAAATGGAACCTTTATGAAATTCCCCAATCTCCAGATTCCTCTATAGAATATGGAGCACAATTAAAAAGAGGAAGAAAAATACTAATGGCTAAGTCAGTAAAAGATAGGAGACGAAAGATAAAGATGCCAAAAATACAGACATCATGTTGTTGTGCAGCTAACTGCAACTGTAAGTGTCTGAAGTGTATATGCCAACAACAGAAAATTGCAGTTGCTGGCAATGCAGAAGTGATCAGGGTAAGAAAACAGGCCAGGAAGAAGAGAACAAGAACTAGAGAGAAAAGAAAGTCCCCCACTCCTACTCTAGTTACTCAACTGACTGAGTTGGTCAGAGCCAACAGGAAGAGGGCTGGCAACGTGAAGAAGAAACAAGAAAGTGAACCACGCTCTACTGGCCAAGCCAAAAAAGAAACTAAACCACCAGTTCAAACCCAATCTGGAACACCATCTGCCAGGTCAGGATCCAACAAGAGCGAATCTGAAGCTAAAGATCCTCATCCCACCCATGGCAATCCTGCCGACGATGCCATGAGTCACAGTAGAAAAAGGAAGCGGCAGCATCACTCATATGGTGTCCAAGAAAATGCTAAACAAACAAAAAAAGTTCGGCACCAAACAAAGAAGAGAAGAATCCAGAAACAATATGTTTCTTTACCCCCTTCAATCGGTTCCGGTTCTGCTATCAATGCCCTCGCTAAAATACGGAAACTCAGAAAACAGGCCAGAGAAAGGAACCAAAATCCCAAACCTCATAAAAAATCGCAACAATAAAATGTTTTGTCTTTGAGACAGTTCTTATCAATTTATCTTGTTTTAAACCAATCACCTGGCTTTGACTTGATCAATACCATTCATAATTTTCGTCTCATCTTCATTTTACAGCTTAGATTATTCATCATCTTACATACAGTAAAACCGATCTTCCAGAATTTAATCTCGTTAGATCCATCTTATTCAGTTTTACTCTAATATAACTATAGAATAAGGTGTACTATATCAGTAAGATTAATATATATTATAATGTATTGACTGATAATTTATAAACATTGCTAAACTAGAGTGCCCATCCCCCTCAAGGTCGATGGCGCAAGAACCTATCACCCCTCCTCCCAAATTTGTTACTGGTCACCTTTCCTTAAAAACAGAGCAAGCTAAAGTAGAATTAGAAAATTCATAGATCATATACAATTAAACTTGCTGCGGTCTGTTCCATGTTTTTCCTTTGCCCCTTAGTCCGAATATTCATAACCCTATCGAAATTTGCCCTCCTCGAAAATTAAAAAAACCGTCAAAATATGCCCCCCTCAAAAATTTTGATGACGCAACTTGCTCTATCAAACCTCCTTCTGGGCATCTCTGTTGTTAAATGATTTAAGTAAAATGATTTCAGCACAAAAACAATAAATTTCTTTCGAATACGAAATTTCAGCAATAAAAATCAAGGCGTTAAAATTCAAAATTCAAATCTGTAATGTACAGTTCCATCAAGGAGGAGGATGGTAGAATCCAATGTTACTGACAAATGAATCGTCATTGAATGTACTTTTTTTTATTATTGAAAGTATAGGTAGAAGTATTTATTTGTACTCTATCGATTAGATTAAAGCAAAGAATTGTCTGACTTATTTTTGTAGCTGAATAACTTAATAAAAATATATTCTAAATTTAGTCATAACGTAATATAAAAATACCTTTAAGGTTCATTAGGTAAAATATATTTTAAACAAATATATTTCCCTGAATCGAGTGCACACCAGAATCATTATATTGACTTGTATAATTTTTCCCGTCTTAGAGAACATATATATGAGCCTTTCAGTTGATAGAATAATTAACACCAATTCCAACATTTTTTTATGATGTAGAGATGGTTGACCGTTGATATAATATGAGAAGGAGTTAGTCGAGGATGCGGTCAAATAAATAAAAAAAATTAAAATACATAAATTATTTTAATTTTTGCCGACGTTTCGACCCACTTTGCAGATCGTCTTCAGGGCTACAAAAGATACAAAACATGTTGAAAATAAAAAATAAATATAAGTATATATAAAATACGAAGAAGTTGTGAGATACAGAAATAAAAGATGGTATCAGAGATATAGTGGGTGACAATGTAGTTAAATATTAAGAATTATATATGTAGAAGATACAAATAAATGGAAAATAAATAGGAATAAAAATAAAAATAAAGGAGAATATAGAATATATTCAACATTTTTTAGTCAAGTGATATTTCTAGTTGGAAAGTTTATAATATTTGTACAGACAGTAAGTTGATTCCAGAGTAGGTGAATGTAGTGTTGAAATACAGACCTGTAAATAAAGGTGTACATTTTCCTACTAGAAATATCACTAAAATTAGTAATAAAAAATGTTGAAATTGGGGTTAGTCATTTTGTTAACTGAAAGGCTCATATAACTTTTAACTTTTGTTTCATATATGCCTTAAACCAAATCGTCAATTTCTTGCAGTATGCTCTTAAACATGCAATCCGATTGTTGAAATATGATTTCGGGTAATCTCTATGTGATGTAATTTATATTATTTTATAAATAATTTAATATCCAACTTACTTAGCACAAAGTAAGTATATTATCCGTGGACCCATAGCCTGTTAGTTTATGACTTCCGTGTGAATTACCAATTTTACAATTATATTCACTCAAAGAACATATTGATTGATAATTTATAAACAATAGGAAGTGGTTTGTATAACATATGATATTCACATATGTTCCTTAACCTTATTCAAGAACTCCTTTTTCACAGATAGTACAGTCAAATTAGTACAGACCCAAATATAAAAAATAAAATAAAAAAGTGGAAACTTATTAGAAATTGTCCATCACCTTAATGGCTAGCAAAAAAGCTCGAAGTTCCCCACATCCATATTTGATGAAGAGGGGAGGGGGACAGAAAATTGATTTTTTTTTTTTATGTATTTAGGTTTATTAGTTTTTCCCAAAAACAGACCGTTCATGGACCATAGCTCAGGGAGGTTACTAAAATCCTAAAAAAACAACCACGATTCCTGATTAAAATGCACAGGATAGGGTCTTCGCCCAGTCTATGTGAGTTGCCTCCAGTAGTCTGATGGGTTATGGATTTTCTCGATGGACGGTCACTCATACAAGTAGGTACTTACACTACGTTATTTGACTTATGCCGCTCATTATCAGAAACACTACAGCTCGCTTAGCTCTCCTGATCACAGGAACATCACAAAACTCCTAAATGATTCTTATCTTATATTGTTTGGTCGTCAGTTCCAACAATAACGTTTTAATTTTTGGAACTATCCAAACAGAACTATAAAAAACTTAAATAAACAAAATCAACCATGTCAAATTTTATAATTCTAGCATCGGTGATTTTTTTGGTATTAGTGAAATTTTATCACATTTTCCCCTCAAGTATCTCTCTATCATTTGATGGTAAAAAAATATGAAACATTTTTTTTTTTTTTTAGAGGTTTTAAATCCAGCAAATCGGTGAGAACAGCATTGCCAGATTGGTCTGAAAGGGCACAGCAATTAGTGTTGCCCAAAATTGGTCTTGGTCTTGCGATCTTGCACTTTTGCAAGACCAAGACCAAGACCAGATCCTATTGTCTTGCGCAAGACCAAGACCAAACCCTGCTGGTCTTGCGGTTAAGTCAAACTGAGACTATTTTCAGATAAAGTACGGTAATTAAACATTTTAATCATCTAATCTAAACAGTGTTGTTTTTTCTTGTGGAATTGTATATTTGAGTATAGCTTTCCAAATAATAATAAAAAATTAATCTTTTTTTTTTTCTCCCCCTACCTCTCCTTTTAGATTATACGAGGGTTTCCGCGGGACATGGATGAGGGCGGGGGATTAATGCCAGAGTTAAAAGACCCCCAGCGGGTACAACAATTATTTTATTGTCTCTAACTTCGGTTATCAGGTTGCCGGGCAACGCTCAGTGCTGTGCACAATCGTTATTCCGCTCGGAAACTCCACCCCTACAAATTAATCATTTGCCAACACCGGAGAAAGATAAGAAAACAAAACATGAATAAAAATTAAGACTAAATAGTTAATACTACTAGCCCATTTTAGTTACTATAATGAAACTTCTCCTCAAAGAAAGCGGACACTCACAGAGAATCAAAAATTGCCCTCTATAGAGAGATGTTCGTTTTAGAAAAATTGGAAGAAAAACAAGTTAAAAAATAACAATTAGAAAACTTAAATTGTATTTTAAAATTTATATCCTGAAAATAAATAAAAAATGATAATAAAGAATAATAGTAATTTACTATTACAATTATAAATAGATAAAATCGTTACAATTATTCCACATCCTCCTTCAAAATGAAATTGTTTCTCAGCCAACTAATTTATGAGAAAACTTCTTTAATATTCACTCGAAGATCACGAAAATGTATCATCAGCTCAAAGGTCCACCGCGAGTATAATTGTTCGAAATGATTGTACGAACGCTGGAGGATTAAGATACAAGCCTGGTGAAATCATCCATGTACAACGGCATAACTCGAAAGAAATTATTTCTTTGCATTGTCATATCTGTGTGCCCGCTGTTCGCAGTATTCGTTATTTCTTTAAGATTTCTAACCACCAAGTTTTAAATTGAGTATCTAAATTGCAAATACTGAACTTTTTGATACACTCATTAATTACACACATTTTTCTTTGAAATTTGACCGGATCCATGTTGACACATTATTAACAAATGTGTGTAAATGACAACAAACGGTTAAGACTAGATTCTATTTCAAACCCGGGGATTCCTTGTTGGAACTAAGCGACAGGAAAGGGGATTAATGTTCTCAGAATATGAGCTTCACAAGTTCCGTATAGTCATCCCTAACTGGATATTTTTGGCTATAATTCTATAAATCCGTTATCCTTGTTTTTTCGTTGCTCTTATGTGAGCAATGAATATATAATCAAAAATAATATATGAAAATACAAAAATAAATGACAGTGTGATAGATAATGTGAGATATCTTAATATAAAATTCAGGATATTTTTCGGTCATTAGAAATTCTTGTTTTAGCTTCTAAATACTTTATATATGTACTTCAAATAACATATATACTGAAAAACTCGTTTCTCGAAAAATGATAGATTTTTTATTGTAAATTTCAGAAAATATCAATATTATTAGACTTTCCGCTAGCAAAATAATATTTTTTTTTATACTTGTGCTGATACTGATAAACAGGATTCAAAACTTCAACATAAAATTCAGTATGAAATTATTTTATCTTAGCTTATTTTTTAAACGCTTTTTTTGAATCATACCTTTCAATTCTCGTCCGTGAATTATTCTTTATTTTCCTTATAGTTCTTCATCCTTATATTGATAATTTTTTTACTGCACATCCTACCGATTTTTTATCTTTCCTTTTGTATTTTATTTGATATATAACTTACGACACAGTTCTACATTACCTTTTAATGTTATTGTGGTCAGAATAGTTATTATAATTTACTAGTAATTTATTTATATAATTAATTATTTAAGTTTGCCTTCGAGTAACAGGTATTGAGAAACGTCGACAAATATTAATCGCAAAGGTCCTCAAGTCAACTGTGGCAACTATTGTTTGTTAATTATTGATGTACTCATTTCAACAAAGGTTTTCGAACAATTTTCAAAGAATGGTTGGAATCTAAAAATTTGCAGTGGAAGGAATGCACACAATTGCCATGGAACTTCCAAAATTACATATACTGTGAAATGATTCCCGATGAGCAAAATAATGTTGTTTTTTCGTATTTCTATCCTCTAAAAAGTGAAAAAGCATTTTAGTGGACATTAACAAAGATTTTATAATAATTCTGTGAAAACTGAAATTATCGGTTAGCCAAATTCAGGCTATATTGTGCATATTTTTCAATACTTTAATTAAATTCAATAACTACAACTACAACTAGCTCAGACCTGATGTGTTTTGGTAGTTTTAGTTCAGAGAACATAAAAAGTGTTATATTCATTTGGTACCACTGTGTGCACACCGTAATGGAGAAACGTTTCAATCAAAATCTGATTTGAAACCTATTTTTTGAAAGGTCATTAAATTTCTGACAAAAAATTCATCTGAATCGGACCAGTTTTAGCTATTATAGTATATATTGTTTTTTACACGCTGATTTTAATAGTAGTTCACTAACATTGCTTGTTTCATCTCAGGAATCGTACCCTAATGATTTCACTGATCGGTTTTTAGGAAAATGAATATATTTCAATTTTTTTTTGTAATGGACGCATTTAAAGTTGTATTTTTTTTTTAAATATACAGGAAAGTTTTTCGTAAGTAGACACAATAGAATTTATATAAATTTACGATTTAGATAAATTGTTTTTACTCTACAACTCTTTCATTCCATATAATCAGAGGGATGGAGGAGGGTTATCATCCCCCTTTATTCTTAATTTTATTGATTTAGTTGTAATTTACAACGTTAAGTCAACAAAACATCTAATTGTAATTATTTTGTAGCATTTTTCTAAGATTTAAAGTACCATATTAATAAATGGCAATAAGCTGATAGTTAACTGCAAGACTCTTGCGCAAGACCAAAACCAAGATGAGACCTAGTCTTGGTCATGGTCTTGCGTTTGGGCAACACTAATAGCAATGGAGCTATGGATGGCCTGCCCCAAATCCATGGTTCGTAGCAATGTGAGGTTGAGAGAACCCCTCTCGATTCTGTGCATCATACAGAAAAACTGGAATGAATACTGTTTTAAATAGCAGGAGTTTTGTATTTTCGCTTTTCCAATGACTTTGGGACGTTTTTGAGAATATACCCCATTCACTTTTTTCACTTTATGAAGTATCTCGTGATCTACTTCGCCATCTTCGCTGATTATTGTACCTATGTACTCATAGGCATCTCTACGAATTGAAGAGGTACCCCATTGGCAACTGCTCCAGCTCTATCATCCTTTCCAACCAGCGTATATTTGTTTTTCTGAGGATTAATACCATCTCTTTCAACTGCAGCTCTTTACTTCATTCATTTACTTCGACTTATTGTTTCTGCTACTAATAATATTTCTTCTCCATATATTAATGCTATTGCCAGAACTGGTATGAGGTGCCGAAATCATAACCACTGTTCTGGGCGTTCTCCTTTTGAATTTTTATCATATTTAATTCATAAAGACGATAAATAGGAGTGAGCCGAGGCTACTACTATGTTTGACAACCCTATAAAACCTAAAATGTTTTGACTTATGTCCTTTAAGTCTGACAATACCTTCTGGATCCTGGTGTATTGACTGTATTACTTATATGAGGTTGTTGGGTAATAATTTGTTTACTAGAGCTTTCCAAATTTCTTCTCAGGGCACAGAGTCAAAGGTAGCTTTCAAATCCAAGAATATTAAATATACATTTTTTCTGTCCCTTTCTCTATTATTGTGAGTAGGACGAAAATGTGATCTTGGGTCTGCTAACCTGGTCTAAATGTTGCTTGTTCTTGCTCAAGATTCTCCACCATTTCTTTTAATCTTCTTTCAAGAATACGGGTGTAAACATTGTATGCCACTGAGAACCAACATATCGATCTATAATTGTCAAAAAGGGTTGAGTTTCCTTTCTTATGGATGGGTATGATCAATGCACTGTCGTTG